AAAATTTAAAGGAAGAAATGTTAGGATATTTTTCTTGATATTTATCAGTTTGTGCAAGTTCTTTGGCTTTCTTTGTCGCCATATTTCTGATAATTAGGAGACCTTGTTCTTTACATTCTAAAATTCAATTTGCTAACTTATTTTCTAATTCCAAAAAAGATGCTTGTCTATCACTGTGTAATTTCAATAAATGAGATGCAGAAGCTTTAAGTTGGTCTTTTTTATTCCTTCAGTCACGAACTTGATTTAGTTGTAAATCAAATGTTTTGCAGTAGTACAAACACTATTTGAATCATTTAAAAAATGCAAAACTATTAATTTTTTGTGGATTGACCAATTTCTCTTTTTTTTAAGAGTAAACCTAGAACTCTTGGCACTTTTATTTATTCTAACCATTTTTAATAGTATAATAGTGAAACATAATACAAAAAAGTAGAATGCGATACAAAAAATGGAATGCTAAAAAACTTTATATATTGATGATCTACATAATCTTTTAAACCACCCCCTTTTACAAAATACTCCCCTAATCAAACTACCCAGATATTTTGCAAATTTAAGGATAGATTTGTAAAATACCTAGGATGGTTTAGTTAGCGCTTTACGGTACTAAATTCTGCCAAGATATCCTGAAAAAACTCTTTCCCACTCTTCTCAAAACAATATGGGAAAAGTAACTCAAAATAAAAAATTTAATAACAACCCGAAAGGCACTCATAACACTCGCAGTCGACCTGACTCGCCCGTTGACAATAAGTCCTTAGAACCCTCACAAAAGAAAGCTGTTACCATTCTAAACCATCCAGGTTCAACTGCTCCTGAAAATTTTGAAAATTCAAACGTCGCCTCTGGTTCAAAAGAAAATATGGAAGTTGACCCACTACCAGTCACTTTAACCGTTAACACTACTGAGGTTGTCGCCCCCAAAGACAAAAACATCATGGATGAAGACCAAGCTCACGACCCCTCTGAAAACTTGCTCGGAAAAGATAACTCTTCTGCTAACGTAATCTCCTTTGAACGCATTCGAGACGCTTCATCGTTCTACATTTACTGCGCCGCAGAAACTTTCCTTCCCAGAAAATCAAATAAGAAAAATGATGAGTTAATTGGAGATAACGAATTTAGAGAGGAAGAATTTGGAGAAGAGGATTACAATAATTGGAATGATATTAATTTTGCTAATGTTTGAATAAATAATAAAGTTTTATTTTTGAATTGATAAAATATGTATTTGATAAATAAATATCATAATGGTATATTAATCACATGATTTATTTAATTTTACAACTATTTTCTGACTAAAAAAATCCTATTTAAATCACCCAGATCTTTTATAAAATTTCAGCCCAAAACTTTAGAAGGGTATTTTGCATAGGAGGGTAGTTTAGTCAGCGCTCTACGGTATATAAAAGTGTAGTTATTTTATGTATTATTCCGCTTCTTTTATATAGGCAGAGTATTTTTTGCTACTGTTTCAAGATGTTTGTACTCTTAGATCATTTCAGGGTCTACTATAAATGCAATTCTTTCAAGTGCAGCAATTTGGATGTGATCCTAGTCTAGGCACCTGCTAAGGGCTATGTATGCTTGTCCAGCTGAGAATATTTATTTGTTTAAGCTGACAGATATGTTTTTAGGGTGAGTTCTTGAGTCTTATGAATGGATAAGGCATAGCAATTTTGAAGGAAGAATTGGAGTCAACTGGTAGGGTTTCCATTAATAATAAAATGGTTAGTTTTCAGTTTTACTTCTAGGTTGATGATTCTATTTGGAACGCTAAAGAATACTCAGACAGAGTTTGTGTCTATGTTGACATCTGTGATGATTCTGTTGTGAATTTAGATCTTTGATTTGAAGTTTTTTAAGTACATAACCTTTGCTCCTTGTTGTAGTCTAATCGAAAAGGGTAGGTTTATTTTTGATTTGAAGGATTAATCAGTCAAGTTTGTGTCTCATGTTCTCTGTTTAGTGTATCAATATAGTTAGAGATTATGAATTTTTCTGATATTATTGGTAGGGTATTGCAAATTAAGCAGTTAATTTTTTTGGTTGTTTTACGATATCCTATAATATTTATCATATTTAATAGGAGGTCGGTTGGTTTGTTTAGATTAAATTATTCTTGTTTTCTTTGTAGTTTTGTCAGATTTCTTTTGTTATATTTTCTAGGTGAATGTTTTATAATATATCATAAAATTCTGGTTGGTCTTGTTAATGGTAGGGTTGTCGTAGAAAGAGGGTAGAATAGTTTTCAAGTTGAGGATTTGAATATTAGAGATCCAATTATGGGTGGTAATTGTACTAGGTCATCGGTTAATACTGTACTGATGCTTCCAAAGGGTGTAATGTTATTATGAATGGTGGCGAATATATTTGAAATAAAATTTAAGAGTTCTGTAGATACTATTGAGATTTTATCTATTATAATTGTATTGATTCTTCTTAGTTTTTCTTTTAGTTCATTATCATGGAATGTAAGAGTTTAGAAACCGTTGTTAGTTGAGATTATTTTTAGGTCTGAATGAATAGTATTTCCATTGATATTTTATGCTATGATGTCTGTGGGTGCTATTAGGAGGTAGTTGGATCAGTTGTCTTTTAGTTGATTAATTAATAGATGAGTAATGTATGATTTTCCAGTCCCTACGAATCCTATAGTGAAGAAATATAATTATAATTATGCATTTTTTTAATCTAGATAATTTTTTAAGATAGATATCACATAGTGTTAGTTTGGTGACAGTTGGTAGGTAATGTCTTCAGAGAAGATTGGTAATAGTATTTTTAAGAAATCAAGTTAGTTTCTTAGAATGGATGTCATGTTTTTTGGAATTATATTTTCTAGGTTTGATAGTAATTGGTCTAGGATTTTGGTGTATTTTAAGTTCATTATTTGGCTTATCTGCTGGGTTCAATTTTGTGCATTACGTTGGATCTCCTTTATCTCTTATGGGAACATAGATGTGAAATGATTGTGATAGGTTGAGTAGTTTTCTTTTAATTCTTGCTCACTTCGTACTGATATATATTTTAATAATTGTTGGTAAAAATAGAGTTTTCCATCAGTTTTCTTTAAAAATCAGTGGCATGTTATGATTGATTTTATTCTTTAGATGACGTAGTTTCTGAGTTTATTATTGTAGACGTTTCTTCTTATAATTTATCTTGGTCTATTTTTTTGGATTTGATACTTTTTAAAATATTGAGAGTAGGTGATTCTGTCAAATATTTCCTCTATTAGTCTATTCATATATTTTTCTATTGGATCCTTAAATATGGATCTTCATTTTCATTTGTTAGTAGATGGATTAGTAGTACCACTTTGGGTCTATTGTTAGGAGGGTCTGTGTTTAAGTATTTTACTTGAATTGAGAAATTGCATATAGTTTCGCCTAATATTAAGAACATAGCTTCCATTACTCCTAATCTTCTAGTGATTATATGTTCTCTAAATTTGTCATTTTTTGTAATATTGAAGACGTAAGAGAGTTCCACTTTAATTATATATTTCATGATATATCTGGTGAATCCTTTTGAGGTTACATATTAGACTTTTATATATACATTTCAGATTAGTAAAGTTTTGGGATAATATAGTACTACCTATTGGTCTGAGGGTTTTGTAAATTTGTAGATGTATTGACAGGAGTTTTGATCAATATGTGTTGTGTCAGAGAATTGTTTTAGGAATTCCTTTTTGCATTTCTCTCCTGAAAAAGCGGTTCGTTGCATTTGAGAGGATTGCATTGATGAATTTAATATGCTAGGACTTTTTCTTAGAGTTCTGGTCATGTATTAGATTTGGTAGATTAGAATATATAATGTTATTCTGGATTATGCCTTCAATTGATTTTGTGGTCCAGTAGCAGCTATGTATATGAGTAGCCTCCTATTTTGAAATTCTATTCGGTTAAAGAAATCTGTTATTATACTCTATCTGCTTACTTTCTCATTTTTTCACACTTTTTTTAGCAATCTAAACTGATGAATGAAGTGAAGGATAATATGTAGTGCCCTATTAGTCAGAATAGTATCACTGTTATCAATTTATCTTAGTATGTTGTGAAGTTCTAACTATTTATTTTTTGCCATCGATAATATAATGAATATTGTTGGAAGTTTGAGGTTTTGTAACATCGAGTTGAGGTGTAATTCTTTTTGTAAAAGTAAGAGTCACTTGTTCTAATGAATGTAGGAATTGGAATGTTTAAGTCTTCATTTATACGTTTTTTATTTGAATAATTACTTTGTTAAATTAGTTAGATTGGTGTGGGAATTCAATGTGATTTGTCAGTATTTCTTTGCTGTAGTATATGCTAAGTGTTCTGTGATAGCGTAGCTTCTCTAGTTGTAGGTATATGGGATAGCCAATAGTGATCTATTTTAAATCTATAATCGTTAAGTATTATCATATGCTTAGCGTATTTTTCTAAGGTCTCTAATCTGTCTTCGTTTGATTGAAAATGATCTCTTATATTGTGAAAGTGATCTTTACCATCAGGGAATAAGTGTGAGAATAGAAGAGGCTCAAGATTTAGATTGTAGATTGAAATGGGTAAGAAGTTGTTATTGTCATCACGAACGAATTTAGCCATTAGACGCAAATAATAAAATTCTTCATCATAGACTTCGTTAGGTAAATTTATAGTTAGTACTATTATGTCACATTGATTTACGAGTGATGCAAATTATTATTTGGGATATGTGTAGCAGTTGAAAATAGTTCTATTAGTTTTATATCAAATTTTTAGTTTAGAATAGTTGTATAATTGCGTAAATAGGGGTTGTTTAGAGGGTAGCTTGTAGGAGATTATTGTCAAAAATCTCTTCATTTGGGATATGATTTGGGTTGAGTGGTTGTAGGTAGGCCTCTATTGTATTAGAGTATAGTGCTAGTGCCCTAAAGTTTATTGAGTATCCTATAGTTCTTACAAAGTAACGATACTCTGAGTAATTGTCAAGGTTTGAGTTTTGTCTGAGAGAACAATGTAAATAGACAGAGGACAAGAATTTTCTACAGTATATAGGTACAGCTTCGATTTTATCTAAAATTTTAGCTAATAGTAGAAATTGATATTTATTTTGAGGTTTTGTGCATGAGTTACATGAAGGGATTTTAATGATTTAACATCTCAGTGTGCTATATCAGACTAATACGTCAATTTGTTCGATTTGTTCGATTTGTTTGATTGGGTAGGTTGTCAAAGAATTGTATGTGATCTAAGTGGCTTTATTTTTGTATAGTAATTTTTCACAATAGACACAAGTGATGTCAGAATATTCTTTTAATATAGTTGATTGAAATTTGTTATAAATTCATTAAAAAGGTTCGCTTGGTCTTCATAAATCATTATCTAGTAATGTGGATGATATTTGATTTGTTGAAAGATTTAAGTTTGGGGTGTTTGCGTTGATGATTGGAATACTAATATTTTGGGATGATTGGATATTTGTTAGGTTAGTGAATGAATCATCGAAGGATAGGTTAATCATATTTTCAGATGATATATTTATTGAATATATATCATATACATGATAAGACATAGTTGATTAAGTTGATTATGGATATCTTTTTTTGTAAAGATGAGAAGGAAATAAGGATTAGGATGGAAGTAAGGGAGTTATTTATATGTTTATTCAATTATTATTATTTGTTTTATTAAGGGCGATAATTATGTTAATTCTTCTGATTATTCTTATTTGAAAGCAATCGTACTAATTGAAAATATAGTAATTATATTAGTTTTTTTGATTCTTATTATTTTGGAACAAGACAATTGTATTGATTCTTTTAAGATGATTGAGATTTTTTTTTAGGTTAAGTCATCTGATTCTAGTTTAACAGATCAGTTTATCTTTTTTTTGGACAGGTTCTAGAAAAAATTGGGTTTAATATACACATTTTTTTTTTACTTATTAGAAAAAGAAGAAAGGAACAATTAGTTCAGTTTATTTGTGATTAGAATTGTTAACTTATTGTTATTTTATTAGTTTAATTTACTGATTTAGTTTATGCTATTTAATCAATAATAATTTTATTTTATTTTATTTTTTTTAATTATAAGAAAGTGTTTTTTATTAATAAAAAAAAATAATTTGATAAATAATTTGGTAAAAAAAAGGATAAAATAAAAATAGTAAAAAAAAAAAAAGAGAAAAAAAGGTGGAAGATTAGAAAGAGTAATTTTTTATGTATCTATATATAGTAAATAGTAAAAAATAGTAATAAAGAAAATAATGAAAAATGAAAAAGGAAGATTTGTGAATTTTTTTTATTCAGGCTGCAGATTTTCATTTGAACTTACATTGGGAAATTTTTTGGATAACAGATCTACTCAGGTTTGCAATTTTATAGTATATGTGCAATTCTTTTGAAAATTTTTGCAACGATCAGTAAAATGCAGATCGCTGCTGGTTTTTAAAACCTTTTTGATAGAAATCTGCAAAAATGGAGATTGTCGTTATTTTTTCAATTTTTCAGAAACTTAATCTGTGATAATCTATAAAATGCATAATCTTTAAAAAAAAGCCTTCGGGATTTCTTAATAACTTGATCCTTTGAATAAAGTTTATTTTTTTTTGAACTAAACTTTTAACTTTAAATAATAACTTAATTTTTTTTTTCATGAAGTTTATTTTTTTTTTGAAACTAACCTTAACTTTATTTTTTAAAAAAGAACTTTATTTTTTATTTTTTTTTTTCATGAAGTTTTATTAACTTCGCTATACTAAATTATTTTTTCTTAGAATTCATTAAAACATGTATTTATTTAATAAAAAATGATTTTCCTTATTAAATTTTAGTACGATATGAATCTCTTAGTTTATAGAACTAATCAGGATTGCATTGTATTCTTTAGTGTAGTATAGCTATAAACAGCCATAAAGTTCAGGTTCTGTTTGATAAATATCATATCATCAAACAAAAGCCAATTCATATAGCTCCTTTGTGAATGATCTCCGAAAGAATTTAAATAACAACAAAACCTTTAAAAGAAATTCTGTTAAAGAAACCTACTATAAAAAAAATGAAAGAGAAATTTAATATCTTTAGAGTCTCACTTACTTTTCTATACTAAGCACTATCATCCAAACTGTATTGTTCTTGATCCTCTGCTAGAGTTACCACTACATTGCTGAACTATTCTTTTCCTTAGAACCTTTTGAAAGTTCTCAAAATCTCACTACTTTTTAAATAAACTGATTTATAAATTTTAATACAAAGTCTTCACTTTCTGAATCTTGCGAAAATATATCTAAAAAAATATCTAATGTCGAAATTGTTTGAGATAATCCTTCGATAATATTTGCATGTGAAGAATTTTCTAATTCTTTAAAATATTTTATTTTTTGATCAATGGCATCCAGTCGTAACTCTAAAAGGACTTTTCTGAATCCTTCGATTTTACGTCGATTAACTTACTAATCTTTGAGGTAAATTCATTACACTTTGCCTACAAAATATAAGTATTAGATTGTTGAATCTATCATATCTCTAATTATTTAGAAAAAAAAAATATTTCTTCTATATTTGTTCAGATTTTAACTAACAGTATTTATTAATTATTACATCACATCTTTCCTGTTTGATAATCGGTAAGGAGTTTTGACGTAATATTTGTGAAGAGTCTCATATATTTCCGTTGATAGTCTGTTTAATGTTTCATATTTACAAATTACAGGAACTGATAGAACACACCATCAAAATTAGTCATGAAACTATAATTTCTTTTAATAATTATCTGAAGATTCAGTTACCTACATGATACTGCCAGCTATGCAATTTAGGAAAACGGCATTTTATTGATGATAATGGAGCGAATATCCTCTTAAAGTTAGTACTCCAACTAATGATTAATTTCTGTTGACAGGTTTCGTTAATATATATGCTATATATATTTTAACTAAATGTAGTTAACTAAATACAATTACCTCAAAATTTTTTATATCACTTTCTGTATACGATTCTCTTCTGCTCATAATATACATATTGTTGAACTTTGAATAAAGATCGCAAAGTTCATTACAAGTTATTTCGTCCCATTCGTCAAAAATATCATCCAGAGCAAAAAGGACAATTTTCATAATATGACGATAATCTGATGCGGTAGCTACTTTTAAGTGACCTAATTTATTTGATAGTTTGAGACCAGGAAAGCGAGAAATCTGACAGAGACAATTATTAAAAATCTTCTGTAATTCTATTCCTCTGGCACTCTTCAGAATTTCTTGTGTAAATTCTAATTGATATTTGAAGAGTCCAAGATCAATATAATGCATACGGTTAGGAACACAAGCTTCGTAAATATTTAGATTTCTATAAAAATTTTAAATATTTTTAGTTTAATCAATTCAAATTTATAATTTTTTTAAAAATAATAGTGGTACTTAACGGGAATTTCCAAAAGGCATTTTTGATAAAATGAATAGAAAGTCCTTTTCTTGATCATCTCATACTATTTTCGTGAGTTCTGAGAGGCATGCTCTCTAACATAATGTTTATATCATTTAGATCATTTTATAAGACCATGCAAGTATGATATGGTATTTTACATCAGGCTGATTTATACGTTGCTATTATTTCGTCAGCTTCAAGCATATCTAAAAGAAAAAATGATATACGCGTAGCAAAACATATAGGTTATCCTTTGACTCTAAAATATAGCGCATCAGGCTTTTCTAACAAAGGTCAAAGCATAGTATCGAAATACTTGTAAAATATCTTACATTGTAAATTTCTAAATGATTCAGTAGTTTTGATTCCTAAATCCTGTACTTTAGGCAAAAATCCTAAAAGAACTTTTGCTTCTGGTAAGTTTTGAATCCCATTTAGAAGGTTTTCAAGTGTTAAAAATACAGGATGACCTGAAGTCTTTCCAAGTCCATCAAAAGTCATTGCATTTGAGTACAAAATAATAGATAGAAGATGTGTTAAAGGTGAAAGAGTCTTTTCCATTTTCAGCTACCAGTCACATTTGAACAGTTCTCTAAATATCCTTTCATTATAATCTTTTTAAGATTTTCTTGTGAACAAAATTATCAGATACTTCTGAACGTTATAAGAGGGTCTGAATTGCTTGGAAAATCGGACAATAATAGAGGATGAATTCAACTTTATTATAAGTCGCAATGACTCTTTCTTTAAAATTAATTGAAGGTGATTTTATTTGATTAAGATATTCTTTACCTTTTTTTGTTGAATTTGGTAATGGAGATTCTTTCAAGTCGCTATGTTTATTGAAAAACTTTATTATTTTATCACCAATCTTATTGGTGATATTACCCTCTATTACCAATCTCGATACGCTTCATTTGACTATACTGCTATACATTCTGGCCTATTTTTTCCTTTGATAATATCTAAAGTATCATTCAGAGATACATCTTAAAGATCTTCAGATTCAAATTCGTGATCTTTAGCATTTATTTGCAAGTCTATTTTCATATCTTCAATATTTTCTTTAATGATATCTTCAGTTTCTGATTCTACGTGACTCCACAAATTATATTGTGGCTCATTTTGGAGGTTTTTATCTATGATTATATCTGTTATATTACTTGTGATGAAGGTTTTCTGTGAAGGTGAATAAAGCTGATTCCAGTGTCATTGTGATTGGCATACTTCACAAGCTCAAGTCATATTCTGAACTTTATATTGACTGCTACAATTGTGATCTTTGGGAAAGCGATGTTTTACCATGATGCATAGTGTTAGCATGTCATGTTAATCTGCTGGAAATTAAAAAGATTTTCTTGCAAATTCTACAATGAAATTCATTTATTATTAGTTTTTGTTTTTAAAAATTAACGTATGAAATACAATTGAATATAAAGTAATGATTTATTGAGAGAATTGTTTATAGTTTATGCGATTTTATTTTTTCAATTTTTATATAACTAATTTAATAATTAAATTCAATGATGGCTTTTTAGCTTTTAATTATATCATCAATTATATAATTGATTAATATTTTCTTGGCTTTTAAGCATTTTACTTGATGATTGTTTTCTTTGACTTCATCAATTAGGTAATTGATTTAATTTTAGTTAAATATATCAGTTGCGGCTTAATGATCATTGCATAATATTTTAATACTCCAAGCATCACATTATTTATTATTTTTTTTTAATAAAAATATGAAATTCTCTAACCTTCGACTTTTTAATTTTTTGTGAACATTTTTTATCTAATTTTCGTTATTGTTTTTTTTTCAGATCCATTTTCTTCGATAATATTAAAAAAAAATCAAGTAATTAAAGGAGGCAAAGTAAATCGAGTTTTTAATCATTTAATCTTCGATATTAAATATTTTTACCTAGTTATACTATTATCTTTTTTTAATTAATTAATTCTTTATTTATTTATCTTATAAAAAATGATATTTTCTGAACAAATTTTATTTATCTAACATCGCTAAAAATATGAACACTAAAAACTACAAAACGTTTTAAACAAATCACGTGCAACTGAAATTTTAGTTGAAACAGCTCAGTTACGAAAGAAGGCAACGAATAAATTTTCACAAATACTATCCTATACTAGTAAGTAATCAAAAAAAATTTAACATTATAGAATTTTTTATATACATATCAATATATATATTTATAATAATATTTATGTAGAAAATGACCAAGTAAACTCACGCAAAAAATCATTTGAGCTAGTAGTACCTTTTAATTTAGAAAAAGATTAAGGAGTTTTACGTAAAAAATCGCTTGAACTAATGTCTACAAATATAGAAAAGAATTAGAGAACTTCACGTAGAAAATTATTTGAACTAGCACCTATGGATATAGATAAAGTCGATGATTTTCAGGATGATGATAAATATTATAGAATGTCTGATAATAACAATTGACGTGAATTAATAGTAACTAATGTTGTGATTTCTTAACAGGAACCAGTTTCACAATCTTCTATAAATAAATATATGTCTAAAGCTTACTTTACAAAAGAAGAATTCAATTATACGATGAATTTAATCAATTCAAAAATTAACGCATTATATAAACTTTGCAAATATATAAGTGAGCGACAAAAAGAGAACACCAAAGCATTAAATAGGCTTGTCATACTTGATGAGCTTTCTGATGATTTTTGGAGTGTAAGTTAACATATTTAGCTGTTCTATCTTGACTTCTATTGATATTCTATTATTTTGTAGCATGCATATAAGGAAGCAGTTAGGAAGCTACTACCCACCATCTTATTCCCTTCAGTTAGCGAATTTCGCAAGGTATTAGAAAACTTTCTTTCTGAACATGCTGACCATTTTATTGAAAGTATAGGTAGAAATAGCTGGATTTCTATGTTCAAAGAAAAGTTGTTACCAGAAGTAAGTTGAAATATCAAAACTTTAAAGAGATCTTCAATAATTCCATTATTTATTTTGTTTTTAGATTAAAGCTAAATGTCGTAGTAAATGAAATGACATTGCAGCAAGCATCTGTCATGCGATGTTTTTCATTTATGGCGAATAGTTAGATCACATCGATAATAATATACCAATAATTAAGATCGCTGAATGGAAGTTAAGTGAAAAAATACAAGCCGCTTATGACGCGCTTTTTACTGATGATTAATTACTTGTGAGAATTGGGGATACTGTTTTCAAGCAGTATAAAGACAAGGAACTCCCAACGATGCATTGTGTTTATATTTTCGCTATCTGTGACATCTTATTAAATCCCAAAAGTCCTGGAATAAAATGTAACAACAAGTCGGTCGTAAAACGGGTTAATGCATTTCTGGTAAATATATTTGCAATACTCTAAATTTTGAATATTTCGCATATTATAATTGACATTTTTTATTAAACAGCGTGCCTACGAAAATAAGAATCCTATTACACGAGAAGTAATGGAACAGATAGCTGACGAAGAAGCCAAAGTTACTGTACATAACAGGAAACAAAATGAACCATCATCACAAGCTGAAGGAAGCGAAGTAACAATGGATGATGACGATGATTATGACAATTTGGTAAGTTAGTTATTAATTAATTATCGATACATTTGCAACATTTGAATTAACGGATATCATAATTTTCTTAGATTTCTGGACTGGATCGAAGTTTTAACTGCTAGTTCATTTTTTTTATTAGTAATATTTTCATGGGTTTTTTAAAGCAATTTTTTTTTTATGTACTGTATATGCATTATATTTGCGAATATTAAAATAAAATAAATGATTTTACTTATTAATTATTAATTGTAAAATAAAATCATGTAATTTACAGATGAAATTGTTTTGAAGATTTATTTAGTAAAAATGCTACGCATGATTTTTAACCTAAAAATCTGCACAGAAATCATAGAAATTTTTCTTCGAAGTTTGGCGCCATGTACGGAGATCTGCACAGGAAAATCATATTGCAGACCTGCGCAGATCTGATGTCCCGATGTCACATACTATAACAAAGTCCAAAATCGGTTTAATCCTAATACAGCTCATGCTTCTTTGTGTTTGAAAAGCTGGATGGAACAAAATGTTGATTCAGTTAATAATAAAATTGTTAGAACTTGTTATTTTCGGTTTATAGTATTTTTAATAATGCTATTTTATCAATAAAATATAATAAACGAATTTATCAAACAGATTACATTTTTTTAAATAATTATCAAATTTAATAAAAATTCAAACACGTAATTAACTGAAGTTAGAATCGTAGTTACAACTGCTGTTTTAACTTCAAATAACAAACCAGAGGTCAGCTCAACTCAAAGAATTAACTGGCAGTTTTTGAACTAAACTGAACTAGGTCGAACTGATAATATCTCTAGACGTGACAAACGGAAATACTCACGTGATTAAAATTTTCACATTTCCTAAAAGTATAATGTCTTATGCTTCGCTCTGAACAATTAGGTTATAGTATCATTTTATAAACTGATTATTTGCATTCTAATCTAAACATCATTCTATAATCAAAGTATTAGCACATTTTACATATTTTTATTAAAAAAAAATCAAATAAATTTTTATGCATATTTTTTTGTACATTATTTCTTTGTCTTTAATACAAGCAAATTTGCCTGCAAACTTTTTAAATCAAAAATATTTGTAAGCAAATTATATGAATATTAAAAATATGCAATTATGAGAATGCAGAAATGAAGAAGATACCGCTCAATCGCCGACATCATCAGGGTCACGGCTGCGCCGTGACACCTGATGATATCTCTGATTTCGCGGTAAATAACTAATACTTATACTCTTGACTTTATTTCACTTTTCTTTCTTTCTGTATACCGTTTTTCTACCTCTTTGTCTTTGCGTTTCTTTGGTGTTGGATGGACATCAGGCTTATCAAGAGATCGTTTCGAATTTGATTTTATCTGCTGTTTCCATCTTGAAACATTACTATTATCGTCTAGATCATTCACAATCTTCATCGTTTGTAGGATTAAAAACTAGAAAAGAAGTTAAATTACTTTCAAGAGATGTTTAAGGACTCACATAAATGGGATATTTACCTTTGCATGTATTATTTTAACTAACACATCTAAAGATCTTCCGAAGTTGTTTACATCCGCGTAGACTTCTAGTAGATTTCTCCTGGTGTACCGGCAAATGTACCCGGCCGAGCAATCAAGACTGACCCTCATCAACACCGCACCTTAAAAAAAATTATTAAAATCTCAGAAAAGTTGATTTGAGAAGGACAAGAAATACTAACCTGCATGAATAAAGCCAATTATGTTCAGCTTTCTCATTTTTTGTTCTTCAAAATCAATCTTGCCAGCAAGATGGACGAAAATATCCTTAAGGGTTCTCTGTAAACTTAGACCAGACTCTTTCATTAATTTTGTGCCGTGTGGACCATCCCATTAATGTCCAGCTTCTGACCCCGCCCAATCGGTTGATGTTGAACCAATCGTCCTGACATACGCATCTCCCTTTTTACCGATTTTTTTTCGTTGGGTTGGTCCTATGTTTGCTAAGGTTCTGTATCGGTTTTTCCGTTCTGAGCAGGCCAACCCGGCTTTTTCACCTCTACATTTCAAAAATCGGATTTTAATTTCTTTGAATTTGAAAAGAATGAAGCATTTTTACTTGCCCAACAACATAAACATAAGGTGTATCGGAAAACATTATATCGATCGTTCTCCAGACATTGACTCGGTGCCATGCTTCTGGCATATCCATAGTGAGAGGGTTAGGTTCCATCTCAAGTATTCGAACCCTGTACAATATTGGCATGTTAATCTATTGCAGGAAAAACTCATTCTATAAAGGTTTCCTTGCCTCTTACCAATCAGTTACCGTAGTTCTTATGTGGTCATAAATAAAATTAGTATGTGGGTCATAATTTCTTCCTAATAGGGGATGGGGTGTGTTCAAAGCGTCTCGTATTTCTTTGGTAGATTTCTGTACAGGTAACTGTTAGTTGACAAATAACCATAGAAAAGATCAATAAAAGAACAAACTTACCTTGGCAAATGTGTCGATGTATTCAAGAATCTCTTCGTCGATTTCCGGTATACTTTGTTCTTCCTTTTTTTCATCCTTAATAAAGGTATCCTCAGTATCGATGATAAAAGAGTGAACAAGAATAAATGCAAAAATCAGTAATTTCTCCTCGGATGCAAAAAACAGCTTAGTATAATGTGACACAACTCTTACTTATGGTATCGGCATTGCATCCCAAGTTTATAAAGCACATCTTCAACAAATCTTTCCGACCTCAATTTCCATTTCCTCGAGCTGTCCAATGCTTCAAATCTAAATCCAACAATAATTAGTCATCATTCGCAACACAACTGAAATGCAGAAATAAAAATAGAATACCTTTGTTTGAAGAGGTTCATATCTTTTAAGCCAAATTCATCCTCATCGCTGTCGTGATCATTTGACTTAAAAAACAATATCGCATTACAGATCAGAAACAAGATTACAAGAAGCAAATAAAAAAAATATTACTACCTCAATTGAATCGCCCAAATTAATCTCCTATAGCACAAATACAACATTATGGAAAAGGTCGAACCAAACTTTACATCAAACAAGATAAAAAACAAACAGACTTACCGAAGAATGAAATCCATGAGATTGTTCTTCACATGAAGCGAATGGTTTGGAATAGTCACCTTGTTTTTGATAAATTCGGTGTTCAGGTGTTTTTGGCGGTTCATCGTTTGCCTTTTCAGATCGAAGACATTGGTTACTAGACAAAAAACCTACAAGATCTAGATCGATATTGTTTACTGTCAACGGAGTTCTTACCTTTCCAACCATCGATTCCGATGCCTCTCTAAAATCATTCCCTAAATCTGAAAATATATGCATTGGTAATGAACTTGTAGCACACACATTCACTTGTAACATACCGTTAATTATAGCATCATCATCTTCTTGCTTGTTGTAGTTCTCGTCATTTTTACTGCTGGAAGAACTAGATGATATCTCACATTCTTTCGTGCTAGCTTTTATGTTTTTTTTGATTTCTCTGATATCTGCTCTTCGGCTCGTCCAATTTCTTCTTGTATAGTAATACTTTTGATAGTGCGCTAACAATAGACAGTTAAAGAAAATCGTAAACACCATGTATAATGTTACGCTTAGTAAGATCAAAAAACAATACATACTCTATGTACCCGATCCGAAATAGCTATCGATTCTAATTCTTTGAGATGCTTATTCCATAACAAAATATTTGCGGAATCGTTATCAGAGTTCTTAGCGAATATATGAAAGAAAAGTTAGACCGAAGTGTTTCATCGTAGATTGGTTAATTGATTGCCTGTTAGCCACACATGCTATAATGAAGCCCACGGCCCAGACTATAACATGCTTCCCACTTCAAGCAACAACGCAAGTTGCCTTGTGCGAAAATCGCTCAGAACACGACTGCAGGGTCATTAGCAAATAATATCAACGGAGCTACCAACGCATATTATAATGGGACCTAAAGTCCAGACAATAATATACTTCCCACTTCAGGCAACAACGCAAGTTGCCTTGTGCGAAAAATCACTCAGAACACGACTGCAGGGCATGGTAATGTGCTCCTATTATGAAACATAATGAGAGAGGTACTGACCTCCAAAGCCTTTTTCAAGGCGTTTGCCTTGGAATATTGTCGACTTCTGTCTGACAATTTCTTAAGAAGGATATTAAGTTCAAGACTCAGGGACCGATGTGCTTCGTCTTTAGTACACCCAGGAGTCTTGTCGATAAAATAAACGTCCCAGTCGCTCACACTTCCCCATGAATTTAGATCACTACTCCAGTATGCTAGAAAGAGAAAGCAAAGATATTGAAGTTGCTTCTTGTGATCATAGAAGTTTTTAGCAGAAGCTTACTTGCATGGTGAAGACCCCAGCTTTCCATTTCCTCGGCTAAATTTTCCGTTGCAATAATCGTGGACATGGTAAGTTCTTTGTTAGGAAAAGTAATTTTTTTGATTGATCTGATCAGTCAATCGGTCATTTGCCATATTAAATTATGCGCAGTTCTGTCAATCGGCCAATTAAAAAGAAACTTGCGCGCATAGATATCATTTACCAATAGTAACGCTTTATCATTTTCTGAAAAATTTTTCGATACAAATGCTCGAAACTTTATTAATGATTTTTCAGATATATAACGAATAAGATAATGTTATAGAAGCGAAATAATATGATTCTATCAAAGAGGGAGGGAGTACGCGGATCCTAGGCCATTTAATGCGAGTCCCAGCATCAAGTTATTTCTTTACTCTCTCACATTTTCGAAAATTATCTATAGCTAATTGTCTATTGCTAACTACATACTCTTTCTCTACCCGAAATAAATTGTCCCACCAATAACTACAGAATCTTAGTCTATCTATATCTCTCACATCCACAATATAAAATAATATTTCCCGCAAGAAAACTTCTTTAAGTGATTTTGAACCTATAGCATGAAAAATTCGGGAGATTAACAACTGAGGTAAAAAAAAAAATGATCAATGCAATATTTCCTATTCATACCTACCTCTACAATCATTTTCACAACATTTCATTCCGCCTTATATTTAAGAAATTTGTTGCTTAATGCGTTATAATAAAGGTATGTCAATTTTTTTTATCGCCAGTACGATACTGCGCCAAACATCATGTGAAGAAGCCAGATATACTGCGCCAAATTTTGTTGAATAATGCACTGATTAGACACGTGGAGTCGATTAGATTAGATAATATTTTCGTGCTAGTTATTTCACTGCGCCTATTGTTCACGTGATGATAGTCCAAGATTTTTCAGAATGCCGATATATAACAAGAAGACCAGAAAGCAATATGTCTGGTTTATTTTGGATCATCTAAGAGGCAGGAAAATTGATTAATATCATGATGACATGTTTAGAGAAACTAGCTGAGCAATAAACCAACTTACTTTATTATTAGTTTGCAGATCGTTTGATTGTAAATATCGAAAATGCAAATAATAGTAGGTTAGATTGGTTTTGATTTTTTTCATTTTACTTGCACTAGGCAGATAAAAGGATTTACTAACCAGGACATCGCCTTTTTATATAATTCTTAGGATCAATTTTGTTATACACCTTTGGGAAATTATGTTAATATGATCGCATCATGAAAATCTGATCAACCACCTCTTCTTATGCTATCCGTATGTAAAGAGCATCAATAAAAATATGTGAAAAAGTTTGATAATAAAAGTTCCTGGATCTTCGCTGGCAATCTTATTGCCTAATAATTTGCTAATTCAGATTTTCTGTATTAAAAAATATTTGATTATTCAGGTCACTTAGTACCCTAAACGTTTTTTATTTGCAATACATTGAGCTAAGATAAATTACATAATGCAGGACTAGCCTTGGGTATTTGATGCCATTCTATGATTATAAACTATTATACTTCAAATAATATTTCTCTATTCTAGCTTTTTTTTGAGGCAAAGTTCGAGATACATGCTATATCATAATTGTAAAGACTTTTCACACTTTCAATTAATAGAAGTAGGATCTACCGCTAATTATATAATGATATATTACTGCGCATAGTATATTCTGCGAACAATAACATCTTACTGTGCATGATATTTAAGCCACTCACAAGATTCAGAAAAAAAAGAAATATATGATTTTTTGTGTTTTCTAAAGAAAACTTTCGCCTAATAATTCTTTTAGGCAGTTATTGTCACTGACTGAGATGCGAGATCATCAAAATATGCCAATTCTTTCTCAATAGTTTCCAAGAGTATTTTATCGAAATTGTTCTCTTTATAGGCAGGTTTAGTTAGTGTTTTATTCTCTAACTTCGTTAATTAAGCCATTTCTTTATGCATGAGCCCTTCATGAAGTTCGTGATCATATTCATCATCAGAGTCAGAGTCATTAGATTTGAAATATACATCAGAAACAGATTTATTGACATAGAGTCAGATTCATTGATGTCAGAGTCATCAGATTTGAAATATACATCAGAATCAGATTTATTAGTGTCAAAGTCATCTGAGTTAGAGTCATAAGCTGAAATAGTAGCCACAGTTAAGGAGGTTTTGTTCACATGACTAATGATTATCTTCAATTTGACCTATTTTATGATATATTCGATTTGAAGATTAATGAATTTAGAGATGCTGTTAGCACTATAAGTATATAGGCCAATTTGGGGGTTCTGGGACAAAATTTGGGAGATCTTTCATATAGCTATATCTTATGCACGATCCTCCCCGAGCTCATTCTCGATATACAAAAAAAATCTGTAATCTTATTGAAGCCCAATCCGCTCTTCATCATTAGAAAACATATCGAAAAATCCAATATCGAATTCAATGTTAAAATCGTGCTGGGCTC